TCCTCAGCAGCTAACCCGCCTCCCCCCTTAACAGAGGCTGGCCACACATGCCGCCCTTCGGCTCTCCAGCCTTTGTAAGGAGTCTGTTGGGGCCTGCCCAGTTCTGGTTTCTTTCAGTCCCGGAAGGCGTTTGGTGTGAAGTGACTGAAGTCAGACACACAAATTGAAAACGTATCACACCATGCATTCTCCGTGCAAAATCTAAAGGGGAATGGGAGTTGATTGTTGGGGGTGTCATGAGGAGCAAGGAGGGAGAGGAAACGCAGAGACGCCGATGAAAGGGTGCGAGTCTCTAAGCAGCTAGAGAGTTAACTGCAGGATGAGGACTGTAGTTAATTTACGGTAGCAAAAACATCCCCCGGCAGGAACCGGAACCAGAGGACTGCCGGAGAAACTCAGCGTTCCGGGGGCAGGGCTGACCCAGGCCACAGGAGGCTTATTCCACACAGGTTGCCCTCATAGGGTGCGCTCGTCCGACACAGGTACCTGGAAAGATGACCTGATGGCTGGCACGTATCGGAATCTGACTTTTTGAACTTGAGTGAGGAGAGCAGCTGTGGGTCAGACCACTGTCTTTGGGGAAGTTCTGTAAGAAGCTAGCCCGGGGCTCCTGGAACTGCAATGCGCTCGATGCTCACCCACGGATGGGTCTGAAATTCAAGCGTTACTGATGTGTTGCCGTGACTAGATGCCTGACAGAGAGATCACGTGACAATGGAAGAACGCTTTAACACAGTGTGCTGTCTCAGGAGGTTCTGGTCCATTGTGGCAGGGAGGGCTTGGTGGATCCTGGAAGTGGGAATGCGTGGAAGAGGCTGTTCCCATCTAGGCAGACCAGAAAATGAGGCTGTGTTTAACCTTCAAAGACCCATTCCTAGCCAACGCCCACCAGCTAGGTGTTAGCGTGAGACTGAGACACACACACACACACACACACACACACACACGGAGGCGGGGGTGGCTCTGATATTGAGTCAGGTCATCCTTTAGGCAAGAGGTCTTTCAGTAGAGCTGGCTGCAGAAGAGGTCGGCAGTAGAGAATTTCAGACACAAGACAAAGCAGGTGTCTCTTCAATGCTCCTAGAAGAAGGAGAGGTGCTGCCCCTGAGGGAGCAGGTTTAGTGCGTGCTTGCGTGTGTGTGTGTGTGTGTGTGTGTGTGTGTGTGTGTGTTAGACCTGTGACATGACAGTTGTAGGAGAATGACTTTGGATTGAGGAATGGGCCACAGGCGCTGGGTAGGGACATGTGCGACCTTGATAGTGAGGAGGCAGATGGGGTTGGTATCAGTCCAACGCTGCTGGCAGCCCTGTCTGCTCAGGGCCTGGTTACTTTAAAGGCCTGGGTTTTCTAACATTTCTAATGCCTTCTCTTCTGGTTTTCAGCTGCCATGATGCTCCTCAGACTTCCAACCTTCTCCCTCAGTTTTCTCTCCCACAAATCACACTGGCCCCTCTGGGCCACCAAGCAGGTTGACCGTAATAAGCAAAGCTTCCCATGACTGAGGTCAAGGCTCGCTGAATCCTCCCAACAGCCCTTTGGGGCAAGCACAAAATATGCCTGTCGTATTTGAGGATGAGGCGCTCCTGCCTCATTAGCCAGCTATGGTGGCCAAGCCTGCAATCCTAGCACTTGGGATATAGTAGGATCCCAAGTTGGGGGGGCCAGCCCAAGTCACACTGTGAGAAAACTGTCAAAGTAACTTGTATATGTGTGGCTCTTGCTGCCTTTCCCCGTTGCTGATGAAGCATTCTGACCAGAGCAACTTAAGGGAGAAAGGACTGATTTCAGCTCATGGCTTCTGGTTGTAATCTGTGGTCGCAGGGACGTCGTAGGGACAGGAGCTCGCCTGCTCACATCCCACTTACTGTCTATAATTACCCAGGGAGGCTAGAGGGGATCTCCTTGGGGGAAGTGGATCAAGCACAGAACAGCAAGCGTGGCATGGCCCGGAACACATGGAAGCTAAAAGTGCCGCTGGCAGAGACTAGGGAGCAGAATATATAGTGGTTCCCAGAGGCAGGCCAGGAGAGAGGAAGATGGAGGAAGGGTGGCTAATGGGCTCCAGGGCTCAGTGGGGCTTCGGGTGTCTTTAGCACTGAAGGTTGAAGTCGACTGACAACCATTAACCGAATACTTGAGAACAGCTACTAGAAGGGAGTTGGAGTTGTGCTCCCAACACAAAAACTAACCAGTATCTGGGGTGAGGGTCATGCTGCTCACCCTAAGTGGTCATTACCCATTTACTTGTGTGGAGAGACCACACTGAACCCCCAAATCATGTGAAATCGTCACATCAATTAAAAATAAAAAAGTAAATGGTATTTTGAAACCCACCCTGCTGACAGGGAGACAGCTCAGCAGGTTAGACAGCTTGCTGCCCAAGTGTGAGGGTCTGACTTAAAATCCTGTGGTCCACGTGAGAAGCCAGGGGAGTCTCCCGTCTTCGAGCCAGCACTGTCATGCATGGGTGGAGACAGGAGGATCGATGGGGCTTCCTGGTTCCCTGCCTAGCACCAGGATGGGTGAGAGAATCCATGCCAAGGAAACAAGATGTGAAGTGAGAGAGCAGGTCACCTGGCTCGTTCCTCTGGCCTCTGCACATAGGCACTGAACACACATACACACACACACACACACACACACATGCATACACAGGCACATACAATCACACGCACACATGCACACACATAACACCCCCCAAAGCAAAAATCCCACTTTATCCTGTCCCGCCCTCTGCCCTGTCACCGCTGAGCCATTAGGAGCCCTCCCACTGGCACAGCAGGCCATCCTTCCACGCTTACAATGGCTCCCAGACTCCTATGCTGAGGGCTTGAAAATGCAAATGCCGCCCCATGCGCCAGTGAGGAAGTTGTGTCTGGCAGAGGACCCTCTGCAACGTGTGACAGCCTCTGCTTGTGCTCCCTCTTGGTTGCCTCCCTCTTTGACACCATCTAGAGGAGCTTTACACCCTGTGGAACCCTGAGTGCAAGGCCCCTGGTGAGTGGCTTTAAAGCCACTCATAGCTCCCATAGCTCCCATCCCACAAATAGCCTAGTAGTCAGTAACATTTCACCAGTGGATGGTTACAAGAGTCCCCTATTGAAATGAAAATGCCCCCAGTAGCACCTTAACCCTCCTCAGAAAATCTATAGAGAACAGCTTAGCCATGCTGGCATCTGGTCGTGGTAGCGATCCCTAGTGGTTACTGTGGGAAATACAGGCTCCAGTATCTGAACACTTTGACATCTGCTACTGCAGAACTTGTAGGAGGTGGAGCCTCACTAGAGGAAGTGAGTCATGGGGCGGGCCTCGAGGTTTAAAAGCCCAGCCCCGCTTCTTGCTCTGCTTTCTGATGCAGTGTAACCAGCTGGCCTCCTGCTCCCACCGGTATGCTTTTCCCCACCCTCATGCCCTGGAACTGTAGAACGGAGTAAGCCCTGCTTTTCTTAAATAGCTTCTGCCCAGTACTTTGTCACGGCAAAAAGTAACACAATGCCTGAGATTTCCATCCAAAATTAAACATCCCAGGGCATGGTAGTGCACTCCTGTAAGCCCAGAATGCAGAGGCAAGAGAATTTTGAGTTCAGGAGCAGTCTGCCCTGGACAGTGAGAAACCAAAAGAGAAAATGGCCACTTCAAAAAAGGGAATCAAATATCACTTTCCCCTAAAAAAAAAAAAAAAAAAAAAAAAAAAAAAAAAAAAAAAAAAAAAAAAGGTTTCAGAATACCCTCTAGCCTGAATTAGGTGCTCTGTCCCCAAAACCCCAGAATCTTCCCTCCCTCACACACTTTTACTGCTGACCTTCTCTCCCTCTCCCCCCATCTCTCTCTTAATAGTCCTTTGAGCACCTAAGACCCTAGTGTCATCTCCACTGCCATATTCCCAGTAGTCATCACACATAGGTTGCTTATCAAGAATTTGAAGAACAAATACAATTACGTTTCAAACCCAAAAATGTATATCTAGGAAGCATGTGGGTAGTGTACTGTGTTGCCTGACAAGAGCTCAGCTGATCAGGTGGACAAACACGTGCACACACTCACGCATTGTGGCCTCCTCTGCAGCTCCCGGCTATCAAATCCTCCCTCTGAGTAAAATGCGTAAGAGAAAAGAGGTGTGACTGCAAGGACACAGGCTCTCTCTCTCTCTGCTCAGCAAGGCAGCATCAAGGCTGATCAAGGGGCGTGGCTGAGTTGGCACAGAAGGAAAAGTCAAGTCCCAACACAGGCCACACTGGACTGCAGTCGCCTATACATGACAACTTAGATGTCTGAGCCAAGCTCACCCATGTGTGTGTGCAAATGGAAAAGAGGGAAGGAAGCCTTTGCCAGACCCCAGACCCTGTGTGCTACCTGCTCTACCATCAAAGGCCATAAACAAGTCCTCTTCCTGTGCATGAAAATTTCTAATCCTGTCAGCTGTGAAGTGTGTGTGTGTGTGTGTGTGTGTGTGTGTGTGTGTGTGTGTCTAATTGTTACTGTAGGGGTATGCACAGTTGCATGCTGGTGTGTATGCCTGTCAGTTTCATCCATATGGAAGGCTGAGGATGACCTTGATCATTCTTCGTCTTTGTTTTTTGAGGAAGGGTCTCTCACTGCAGCTTGATGGGCTGACCAGTGAGCAGCAGGGATCTGCCTGCCTCTGTCTGCCACCCAGAGGCAAAGGTCCTCCCTCATGCCAGCTATTTCCACATCCCAAAGTCCCGAAGCCTCCCAAAGTCCCACCACCAGCTGGAGCCAAACACTCAAAACAGTAGCCAGTGGAGGACATGTCTGTGGGCATGGGGGTGCCCTCAGAGATGGTTGATCCAAAGACGAAGGATATTGTCCTAATACATTTCTCTAATATTTCTCCTCTCCCTCCCTTTCTCTCTCCTATGCCTCTTCGTCTGTCTGTCCACCTATTTACCCATCATTCTCCCTCATCTCTTTCCCTCTAACTTTATATCCATCTGCCTCTTTCTCCTGCCCATCTCCCTACCCTTCTTTTTTTCTTCAGATTCCTGATCCGGTGTGTAAAAGTAGGCCGTGGATATTTTAACATACTTCGAGAAGAAACTGCCATGAAAAAGAAGCAGCAGCAACTCCAGAAGCTACTGGAAGAAGAATTAGAAAAGTTTCAGCCAGCCCAGAAGGTCCCAGACACCCACTACCGGGACTCCGTAATAGCGTGAGTGGGCCCCCGGGAGACACTGAATGGTGGGGGCTAGCTCAGGGCAGCTCCCCTTCCCTAGGCTGGCCCGCAATACCATCTTCAGCCTGGCCCAACCTGCCTGGTCCTCACCACTCTCTGACCTTAAGTGGAGAATTTTTCTGTTGCACATTCCACCTTCCTGTCTGATGATACCGAGAGAGAGACACGAAGGAAATCTTGCTGGTTCCCATATGCACCTCTCTCCCCATCCTTTCCATCTCTTTTCCTGCCCTGATTCTTCCCCACATCCTCTTCCAAGCGGTTTGACTCAATACTCCACGGCCATCTTCAGTGCTGTCTTCTCCTGGTACTCCCTAGCTTTCAGCCAACCACACGCTGTACGTTATTCTCCAGGTCCTCATGATCCGTGGCTGCACTAACTCGCTGTATCCCATGCCAGCATCTCTGCTGTGCACCTCTAGCTGTAGCCAGTGGCTGCTGCACGAAGTGCAGAAAAGGCCGTCTTCTGAGTAAAGGCACTTCCTTTTCAGGAAGCCCTTCTCGCAGCTGGGAAAGGACCGTCCACAGCTTGGCCTGCCATGAGGTGCTCCCATAGCTAAAATACCAAGAGGAACCATAGCACCAAATACAGCAGTCGTGATAAGTGTTTACTCTGTGGCATTCCTGCAAAAACAGGAATTTATTGGCTGCACTTGAGAGATGTAAAACCAAAGACTAAGAGAGGCCCATTGGTTTCCCTAACATCATTAGTTAGAAGTGTCCTCACTTGCAAACTCAGTTGTACCAAAACGTACGACCTTCAACAGTCATCACAGACAAGGTCCCGGGAAACTTAGTATGTGAAGACAGAGCACAGAACATACCGAGGACGAAGAGATGGCTAAAGCAGAGGGGGAAGGCATGCAATAGAAACCAGCTGCAGCTCTAACCACTTAGCAAATCTCACCCTAGCAACCCATCAGTATCACACAGCACCTACACTCAGAAAGTAGCGTGTGATCAGGAAATGGAACAGGTCTGTAAAGGTTTGAGGCCCACCTACAAAGCCCCACTTTCTTCAGCAAGGCTTCACCTCCTTCAGCAACCTTCCCCAACAGCACCACCAACTGGAGACCATGTGTTCAGACATGTAAGCTTGTGGGGATCTTTCACATTCAAACTTCTAACAATCAGATGATTTGTTGTTGTTGTTTTGTTTTTTTCAAGACAGGGTTTCTCTGTGTAGCCTTGGCTGTCCTGAACTCACTTTGTTGAACTCACAGAGATCCACCTGCCTCTGCCTCCCCGAGTGCTGGGATTACAGGCATGCACCACAGTGCCCAGCTCTGATAACTAACAGTGATATATTGAAAGATGAACTCCACTCCCCTACCCCTTTCAGGTGAAAGAATAAACAGAGATCTAGAAAACCAACCAAGCAAACAAACACACCCACATCTGGAAAGTGGAGCCTGGATCAAGGCCATAGGTTGTTGGGAAGCCAAGGGTACATCAGTGACACACCAGAAGGGATTCATCGGAAAGTGCTGACATCCTGCACGCGTGTCTCTTTCTTAAAGAACGGGGAAACCTTTAAACATTCAGTTGGCACGTGACGACTGTATGTTCTCGGGGCACAGTGCATCAACTCATTACACACATGCAACAAGGTCAGACTGGGTCATCACTGGACCCGTCACCGCAAACACGTGTGTCTGAGTAGTGAACATTCAGAACCCTCTCCGTTCACCACACAAAAGCTAAGCCACACCATTCCTCACATCTGGCTCTACACACATTGTCTCTGGCCGACATAGTATGTTCAGGCTCAGAACCAGCAGAATGTCCTCATTAGACCTTGAAATGGTATGTGCTAGAGAGAGAGCCGGTCAGTGACCCTGGGAGATCTCACTTTTTCTATGACCTCCCCAAGACCCTGGTGCAAAGCCTGCCTGCCTTCCACCCGGAGCCCACCACTCTCCCAAGCCTGGGACTCCATCAGCTGCAGCCTCGCCCTAGGACAAAAAGGGTAAAGTTGTGGCTCCTCTTTGCAGAAACCGTAGTCTAATGAACAAGCCACCCAACCCCCACCACATAAGGAGAGGAGAATGTTGAAGAGCCTGCGTGGAACATTCTACTTCTGTGGGTGTGGCTTTAATCCACAGCCAGAGGACACCTTTCCCTCCCCTCCGGTCCATGTCTGGGTATGCAAGACCTGGTTTATTCAAAGCTTAATAAGTTTCAGTAAGCACGCTCTCACTCCTTTCATTGGTCCAATTATGTCTTATCGGGTAAGGGTCTCTGAGCTGTTACAAAACCGATTATTAGAGTAACTGGCTGCCCACTTCATGAGTGTAGCATCAAATGCAAGGGTGGGCCTTCTTTATAAATTAGCACTAAGAGACTGTCCACAGCAAGACAGGTCACAGGCAGGAGCACAGTTAGGCCTTAGAGTCAAGTCCAGAGTCTACTTACACAGCTGCAGTACCTCCCTGAGCCTCCATTTACTTCCCCTGTGTGGACAGCACCAAACCCCCTATGCTTACTATGGGGGCCATGTGAAATGATGAGTTGTGCAGATCACAACTCACAGGACACGCTCAGGGGCTGTCATCGACCATAATGCAAAACAAAGTGATTTTGATCTCTCTGGACTTCCGTTAGCTAAACTCCTTGTGTTTTTGCATAACAATCTTATTTTCCACAGAGGCAGCTCATATCTAAGAGCCTGCCTTCTACAAATATGGTTCCAACACAGAGATCTCCAGAAAGCAAGTGTTCTTTTATAAACACTTTCTAACCAAGTATTTGATCTTTCCCTTTTAAAAAGCAAAAGGGATTATTTTTACCCTTCAACACCACACACACACCCCCCCTCAGGATCTAAGTGATTTCAGGCGAAAGTTTTAAGTCTGACGGAATAGGTGAGGAAAAGGGAAAATCAAGCATGTCCCACAAGACTCTTGCTGGCAAGCCATCCTCCCCTCTCTGCTCAATGACCTCATTTTTCAGCTGCAGATTCAGCTTAAAACGGTGGTGAGGGAGTGATATTTGTCTTATTATTGGAGTCAAGATGAGGCATCTAATCAAAGATTAAGGAACATGAGGGCTGGGTTAATTTCTGTATTCTCCAGGAGATACAGTTGGGCCAGTAAGACGGAGCACAGCAATGTGTTTGCCAGTGAGATTTTTTTTTCCTTGTTTGTTTGTTTTCCAGGTCTTGAGTCAAATAAGGAGTCAATGGCCATGGAAACTGGGGCAGCCAGGTTCTGGGGGCTGTCTTTTAATTAGCTCTCTCACCCCTGGATTGTCGTCAAACTCCACCCCCCTCCCCCAGGAAGGTGCTTGCTTGCTCTCCACCTCACGTGTGTGCCAGCATGACCTCACAGGAAGCCAGGGCGATCTATTCAGGAGAAATTGCTTCCAACAGAACCCTCTCAAGGGTGCCCATTCCTGAGTGGACAAAGAAGCCTGGGCAGAGCTCAGAGGCCCAGGCAGTCCTGCTCAGGGATTTCGGCTTCTGCCTGGGCTCACAGCCTCCTCCTGCCCCTCTGACCGCAAAGGCCCTGCTGCTGCCTCCCAAGAGGAGACTGCCCTCGATTCTGTTTGCCTAGCTAACCCTATTCACCCTTCAGACCTCAGTTCAGTATGAATTTCTGTTCCCGTTACTATAGCCGTGAAGTGCCTACCCTAAAACCTACTAACTCAGCACAACAAACACTGCTTTCATAGGTCTGCCGTCAGAGGGGAAGGACCGTCACTGCTCTCTCTCAGTGGCTGCTAGGGTGGCTCAAAAGAGGCAGCCCCCTCACACAAGCCCGGTGCCTCTCCCTGTAGCACCTTCTTCCCAGGTGGAGAGATTCCTCACAGGGTAGATGATCACAATATCCCAGAACGCAGAGAGGACAGACCACCCACTCTTGAATCCTGGCACGATACCACCTCTGGCAAATTCTGTTGAGTCAACCCACCACGGAGCCAAGATCTAAGATCTAAGGATGGGGGAGGTGGGGGGAGTATGCCGACCCACCTCTCATTTGTTCTTTGTGACTGTCACGCCTCTCTGGGAGGGGAGGGGATTACAGACAATGTTAGGCTGTCAAGTTCTGCGGGTACTCTCCCTATACAAGCCTAGCCCCCCACCCCACCCCCGACACCAAGCCTCAGAGGGGGACAGGGTGGCTCAGCCCCTTTCACTGCTGCTCCTGCACATAGAAGACACTCCGAAACCGTTAGAAAAAGGGAGAGGAGCAGGAGCTTACAGGGACCCTGAGTAAGGGAAGCACACAGACGGAGCTCCTAAGTAATTAGACCTTCAGCTGAACCACTGGTGCCCAAGCCTGGCATGGTGCCAGCTAAACAGGCAGTGACTCCCAGAATGGCCAACGCTTGTAAGGTCTTAGGAGCCAAACATTTACATGAAACGTCTAAAATTTCAAACATGACGGTTGGTTAAGTTGCGCATGCACACACACACACACACACACACACACACACACAGTCGCCTGATTAAAACACACCTGCGGGCTAAATTCAGTTATAAGGGGAAATGCCTATAATACAGAGTTATCTGAAAGAAAACCATTTTCTTTAACTGAGATAACTTGTTCTGTGAGATCAAAGAAAAAAAAAAAAGCTGAAATATGGTCTCGAAAATACCTTTCCCAGAATACATTCAGAAAGCGTGCTCGTCAGTTTCGGTAAAGCGCCCACCTCCGGGTGTGTCTGGGGGAGGGAGGATCAGACAGGCTAACCCAAATGCCACACAGTCCCCCTGGGAGCCCAGATGAAATGAAAGGCGGAGACAGAAAGCAAGTCCCCACGGTTTCTCTCTGTCTCTGTCTCCCTCCCCTCACCCAGCAAGCTGGCACAGTGTAGGTGCCCAGTGACAAGTACCAGATACACTCTGCCGTAGATGAGCCTCCAATGTGACTCACTCTGCTCCCCCTGCTCTTTCCTCAGCACCTACGAAGAGGAGAAGATAAAGAAGCTGGAGTCCATGCGACCGTTCAGCCCGGTCCACAGCTGTATCATGGCTCCCTCCTTGCCTGACTCTCACGTGTAAGCAGGTCCCTCCTCCCGAGCACCAGCCTCACTGGCTCAGGAATGAGAAGGAAGCTAAAATACCAACCCCATGAACTAAGGCTTCGGGAGCCCTTAAGTTAAGCCCTTAAAAGACAAGCCCCTTTGTCCTCTTGAAAGGGACCAGGAACCTGGAGCCAGCAAAACTGGCTCACCAAAGAGTAACAGAGAATAGGCACCTGAGTGGTGGTTAGTTGTGGTAGTTGAGACTCCAGTGGCAAATCAGCCGGAGCCTGAGTCATCCCTTTTCCCACCAAGCCAGCCACTCAAGTGTCACACAGTTTACAAAGCTTGATGACACCTGTCTTGAGCCCTCCATGCAGAGCTTGTACAGAAACATCTCCGGTGAGGCTCAGGTGACATGGCCTGCCCAAGACTCGGAGAGCTATTTCCAGGAAAGTCTCTGTGGCCCCATGCCTACAGGCATGGCCTCTCAGCTCATGGTACCCAGGGGCTAGTCATGCTTCCAAAAAGCGCACCTGCTTTCTGAAACCTTGGCATCAGGTCCCTCTCGTGTCTGCTCTGAGACTCACAAGTCCATAGCTTTTCACCTGAAAAGGTTCAGGCAGAGACAAAGCTTCTAGCCTCAGCACCGCCAGTGCCTGGAGACTGAGAGTTCCTCGTTGTGAGGGGTTCTCCTGTGTCCCACCAGATATTTAAAAGGAGCATCCTGGGGCCTCCACCCAGCAGATGTCCAAAGCAACCCTCAGCCCGCAAGCACAGATGTCTGCAGGCATGAACACAGGCCTCCCCACACCCAAACGCACGCAGTACCCCAGCCTCATGTTGAAAACCTCAGCCTTTGGGTTTACCGCGCTGAGGTTCATCGTAGGCGTGTTACGTGCCCATGGTCTCTGCAGCATTAACTGCCACTCTGGACACACCGCATGCACTCAGCCCCTCAGGAGCCCTACTGTGTCGCTGTTTCCTTGTCCCTCTCTGCAGAAGAAGCAGCCGAACCTCAAAGATGTGGACCCGCTTGTTCTTGGTCACAGAGTGCACACAGCACGTCACCCTCCCAGGCTTTAAGCCAGGTCTGTCTGATGTCACATCCCAAGTTCACACACACACACACACACACACACACACACACACACACACACAAAGTAGAAAGTATATACCAAGGCCTTGCCTTTCGAGAATTCATGACGTATTTTGAAAGCCAAGAGTCCTGTAACACAAAGACTAACCCAGGAGTTGATCACAGAGCTGGATATTAGAGATTACTGATAAGAACTCTTTAATGGGTGGAAGGTCCAGGCAGCCATTGCCAGCCCCACCACCATCATCATCACTCTCAGTCATTCATCATCATCCATCACTGTTTTCCATCACCGCTGTCATCAGCAGCACACACTGAGCACTTCCCCCCCACCTTCCCGATAGTCAAGGCTAATCCCACCTTACCTTTCAGTGACATTAGCTGGGATTCTTGGTAGATCTATTCATCCTGAGCATTCCAACTGGCAGCCTAAGCTAGACGCCCTTAAAACATCCCTTTTAGGACAACAGGCCTTGTGATTTCTCAGCCTCTCTTGGGAGCATTCACACATCTCCCTGCCATTGCCATGGATAAGCCCTCCGGAAGCATGATATTCACATTCATGTGAAAGTGAGGAGAGATGCCTAGAAAGAAATGGATCACATTCCTCCTTCATTTGCTCTGAATAATGAGGCTTAAACACAACAAGGCTCAAGTGTGGTGCACAGAAACAGTTTTCTCTAATGCCAAATGAGAAAGTGAACCTTGCCACACCCTGGCAGAGGCCTGTCAGCAACAGTCCCAATTCCCTGGCTCCCAGCTCGGGTACATTAGATAGACCACCAGTACGACTGTCAGCCGACAGCAGATGTTACCATCGTCCAGTTACGGTTGCTCTGTGAACTGCCTACTAAGTGTCTTGGTTTTGCAAATCACATGTTCTCTCCTGCAACCACTCTGTAGTGTAAATGGAAGGCGACAAAGGTGGGTTGTGTCATCTGTGTTACAATAAGTCTTTCTTTACGGAAACAAGTGTCCCAGCCACTTATTGGCTGTAATTTGCCAACCCTTGTCCCGAACTAAAGTTGGCCACTTCCTTTCCTTGGCTAGTGAAAGGTTCTGGCCATGTTGAACAGCCGGGGCACTAATGTACTGCTAGCCTGGAGCGACTTAGAATGCTCTCTCTCATTGCTCTCCCAAACCTACAGATTGCTGGGTCTGTTTCCGTGTGTATCCATCCGGTTGATGGGTAAACCGGAGGCTGGCTGGTCTTGGCAGGGCCAGGCGTTGGTTTGACTGGTTGCTTAGTGACCAGGAGGACAGAAGTATCTCTCAGCAGGCTGGTTCAGGCTTGCTTACACTATATCCAGGAAGAACTCCAAGAACAAGGGCCTCTACATAAGGCTTTCTGAGACAAAGGCTCACAAGAGGTGCAGTGGTCCTCAGCATTCTTCCAAGCCAGGAGAGACTAGCACAGGTACAGGGAGTAAGGGAAAGCCTCCACCTTTTAAAAAGATGAAGTAGCAAAGTCAAAGTCCACAGTATGCAAAATAAGGAGTGAGGAGGAATTGGGATATTTTAAAGACTTATTTTGTTACTTTTTAATTGTGAGCATATGTGTATCTGTTGAGTGTATGTGTGTGTTCAGAAGAGGGCAGCAGATCCCCTGGAGCTGGAATAACAGAGTTGTAAGCCCTGTGTGGGTGCTGGGAACTGAACCTGGGTCCTCTGGAAGAGCGTCCCGTGCTCTTAACTGCTGAGCTGTCTCTCCAGGAATTACAGCCTCTTTATAGTCAGTTGTAGTCATCATTTTTCTTTGCACTGTGACAGGATGCTTGACAAGAAGTAACATCAAGGGGCTCAGCAAGTCAGGGCACTCGCTGCTCTGTCTGATGACCTGAGTTTCCAGCCTCAAGCCCACAAGGTGGAAGGAGAAAACTGATGATGCTGGCAGTTTGTCCTCTGACGCCCCCCACAAGTGCAGCACGACAACCCCCTCCTCCACACATTAAATAATTATCAAAAAAGACAAAAAAAAAAAAAAAAAAAAAAGAAGCAGTGTAAGGGAAGAAGAAATTATTATGGCTTGAGTTTGAGGGGTTTCAGCCCAACCTGGAGGCGAGCGCATGGCAGTAGGGCCCTCAGGCAGCCTACTTATATCTGAGCCAGTCACAAGGCAAATCACTCAGGCCGAACCAAGACAAGTGACAGCTCATGGGGCCTGCTCCCAAAGTCTTTGAGGTAGTCATCACACCCCAGAGGGGCAGTCTCCCCAAATGGCACCGGCAGCTGGGGACCAAGGCAAACCCTGAACCTTAGGAACATTTCATATTCTAGCCGGAGCCTTAGTCTACCAAAAGTCATGAGAGCAGGCGCTGCTCACCGAGTGTCCGCCAGTGTAGATCAGAGCCTGCTGAGTCCCTCAACCCCAGGGCAGTTGATCCCAAAGCCGATAACCCTGAATCACCTGTGTGGGGATCGATCCCATCGCGTCAGGGAAGACTCAGATGGAAGGGGGTGGCCTGGAGGACTGAGACACAGCTTCCCGGCATCTCTGTACAAGGACAGGATTGTCCCTAGCAGCCTTTTCTAAGTGCCCGCTCAGTGAACACCAACTGGGCAGCACTGGACACACAGCCTGGCAGCAGGCGAGAGGAACCGTTCCCCGCAGGGATGTTCCAAACCACTGGGTTCCCACTGGAGCTGCTCAGGTATATGACTGCTGATGGTCACCGAGGTTCTGAACCTGGGCACTGCAGCGGTGAGCTTTGTAGAACCCAGTGTGGACATCTGACCTTCTGTGCCCTGCATTCAGGCAGAGAAGTGCTTTCTCTTCAAATCTGGGATACTGTCCTGTGACCTAAGAGAAAAGACAGATTTCTATCAAGCAGGCTTCCAGGCTTTGTTTTGATTCCTTCCCAGTTTGTTCTCTGCAGATTAGGTGAATGAGTGTCAAGTTTGAGACTTCTTACAAGCAAGAACAAGTGATCTATACCCATCAGGTGAAACCTTTTCCTGATGGGAAAGGAAGGTTCCACCCTGCAGCCAGAGACCAACAGCCTATTTTACCTCAGGAATCAGGGGGCTGGACTCAGATTCCACCTCTGCCGTTTGGTGGCCTTTTGACCCTAGATGTGTCTCATTGTCCTCTACGCCTCAGTTTCTTTCATCTGCAAAACAGGGATGCTAATGGTATCCCCTCTCCCAGATTGATAAGGATGAGAGTAATCCAATTAAAGCAGTGCTCTTGGGGGTGCAGTCTTGTCACTATACAAGTGGCCCCAAACATGAGATTGCACCCCAAGCTACCCATTGTGGAAAATGTGAGATCCAAAGCAACTGACTCCCACCATGTCCCATCCGGTAATCATCCGATGCTGAGTGCACCTGTGTGCATGCAGTGTGCTAGCCAAGACTGTGGGCTTGCAGGTCCTCGAGAGCAGGGACAGCAAATAACCAAGTGGCTATGATAAAGCAGGCACCTGGGGCATAGAGACAAAGAGACCTGTTGTATGGTTATCCTTGGACAGAGCCTAACCTAGACCTGGAGGGACCAAGGAGGAATGCGGCCCAATGACTGAAAGAAAATGGGGTTTATTGTCTCACAGTTCCGGGGTCTGACAGAATTGGTTCCTCCCTGTTTCTTCAGAGGACGTTCTCTGGGTTGTAGCCATGGGGCGTCTATATGTGTCTACATTTCCTTTTTTCACTAAGAACATCAGTAAGGCTGGATTAGAGCCATCCAAAATGGCTTCATCCTAAATGCTTCTTCAAAGGCTGTATCCCCAAATGGACTCAGACTTGGATGTATTTGGGTTCCAGTTTTATCATAAGAATTTCCAGGTCCACAATTAAGCCTATGATAGGTGGTTTAGGGGCTTAGGGAGTTTGGAGATGTAAAGGAAGGGTGGAGAGGGTTAGCTTTGACCTGTTTGGGGCGCTTTCAGAAATCACTAGAATGGGGGTGAGGGAAATAAAAGAGGGGTGGATTTGAGAGCTGCTGGGTGGAAGGACAAGGGAAGGGGAAGAAAAAGGAAGAAAAGAAGGGAAAGAGACAAGGAAGGAAGACAGAGGAAGAAGTGAAAGAAAAAGAAAAAAATGAAAGCTAAGGGGGAGAAGAAAGGGAAGAGTAAGAAGAAAGGAGGGAACAAATGAATCCTGTCCACAGGTCCCACGTCTCCAGCACCACCCGTGAGCAAGCAGACTCCATCTCCATCACTGCCCCATTTGGTTTATCCCCACCCCCACCCCCACCCCACACTTCCAGAGCCGAGGCCTGCAGGGGACTCTGTCCCAGACCTATACAACTTTTAGTGCTACAGTGAGGGAGGATCAAGGTGCTTGTGGCTCAGTAACAGGCATGTGACATGCTGAGTTCATTGACTAGATACTGAAGGCAGAGCCAGCAATCCATGCTGTCCCCTGCAGCGGGGCCCAAGACAGTGCTAAAGGAGGAAAGAGTCGTATTTAGAAGGAAAATCTTTTTTCTTTATCCACATGGGTGTGTGTAGAAGACACGGGGGAGGGGGGAGTGGAGAGAAGGGGTCTGGCTGCCCTCAGTACAATACATCCCGCTCCCAGCAAGAGAGGCTGAGGGTAGGGAGCTGCAGGACAGCTCTGTTCCGTGCTGGGTGAATACACAGAGGGCCCTCAGGGGACACCCTGGGACAGTTCCACACAGTGAGGAGAGATCTTCCTGGAAACTGAGAAACCCTCCCTGCTCCTGGGAGAACTGGGCCTGGGAACCCCGGGGAGCAGTGGACTGGGCACTTGGGGGTTTCAGGAAAGCTTGGTAATGGAAGCCTCTTTTTCCATTAGTGAAGGATGAGAAATCCTGGGGGAGGGGCCAGCTTCCAGGACTGCACCTCATTTCCAAGAAAGCCACAGGCAGTGGGTTAACCCTTTCCTGACCTCACTCACTAGCAGAGTGCCCAGCACACGCTGGCTCCATCAGCACCTAGTCACAGCTCAGCTCTAGATGACTCCCCAGTTCAAACCCTTATCAGTGCTGGCTGTGCGACCTCAGGTAACTAACTGCACCTCTCGGAGCCTCAGGTCTCTTGCCAGATATAGCACTCTATCACGTTGTCGTGAGCATTAAAGCAAACATTCAGACGCCATCTCACAACCAAGTTGTGTGATCTGGACCGACGCTGGTCCTGCCTCTCTGGGCCTCGGTTTCCCCTTGCCTGAAGAAGCCCCACCAGGTTGTTGGAAACCTTAAGTAATATGGAGAAAGTGCACGCGCCAGTGGCTGGTTCACTGTAGTTAGTTTGAGGCCTCCAGACCATCAGAACTGTCAGTCAGACACACTGTTAAGCTGTGTGTTTTGCTTCATTTCCAGATAATGCGCTTGATGTTTTTTGGGTTTTTGTTGGTGTTCAATAGCCAGCTACATTTCGATCCAGTTAATGCTGTCTCCCATTTCCAGGCTTTCTTACACCTTCAGGCTATTAACTGCATTTCTTTTTATCAGATAAGTTATCAGACATCAGTGGAATGTTAATTGCATTCAATTCTCCTTTTATTTGCCTGAGTCAAGACTTCCAGCTAGGGAAGACTGGACCCACTGCACACACAGCCAGGAAAACTGGAATAGGCTGCTCATGCTTCCGCCTTGGCACTGCCACCTACCAGCTCAGCGACATGACTGTGTGGGCTCCCCTCAGCCCTCCCCTCATCCCCAGTGTCCTCATTTGCACTAATGCAATGTGTGTGAAACACTTAACCCGTGTGCCAGCACCTGCTGAAGCCAGGGCAGCTGCAGTCTCTGATTGCTGTTCCCTCTGTCTCTGCAGGGATCCCCTCTTCCGCCAGCTGTGCGCCCTCCACTGGCTTCTGGAGGCCCTGACTATCGACCACACCCACCATGCCATGAGGCCTCTGATTGCCTGTTGGAACCCCAAGTAAGCCCTGCAGCCCTGCACCCACCTGTACCCTGCCTAGGCAGTAAGAGGCAGGACCCTTATCCTTCACCCCCTGTGGTGCTTGATGGGTGGTTTGCTTTGGAGTTGCTATGCTCTGTGGGTACAAACCCAGGTGAGCTGGAGCCAGCTCCTACACTCCCCCCAGGACCCCACCTTATGCACTTCTTTACAAGCGTCTCTGCCTGGTGCCATGTCACAACACACTGGTAGCCTAAAATGGGGCACAGTGGGAACATTTACACCACAGAAATGGGCACGCTATACCAGCATGCTGTGGACCCACAACCTGATTTCTCTCTAGGCATCCTCATGATCTCGCTGTGTCTCCTCAGCATTGTTTCTGGTTGCTCCTTTACCTCTGACACCTTCCCCTTCCCCTTTGCTATTCCCTTTTTCTTTGCTCTTGCTTTTATCCTTTTAGACCAAGGGAAATTTGCTTGCTTGCTTGCTTGGGTTGGTTCATTGGTTCACTGGTGAGTGAGTTGGCTAGTTGGGTTGGCTCATTGGTTGGTGGGTGGGTAAATTGGTTAGTTGGACTGGTTCATGGGCAAGTTGGTGGGTAAGTTAGTTGGTTGGGTTGGTTTATTGGTTGGTTGGTGGGCTGGTTATTATTTGGGTCAGTGTTTGGATGACTGGTTTGATTTTGTTCTATTGAGTTTTTAAATATATATTGAAGGTTATTTCTCCACTTAGACCTAAGGTACTTGTTCCAGGCTCTGGAGAAGCTGGGTACAGCCAGATGGAAACTCCAGAGAATGTTGACTTGTTGACTAAGGCATAAAAATATAAGCCATGTCACCTGCAGGGGATGACTCATGCAAGAGCTTTGAGGTCACTGTTTCAGGGGCTTTAGAGACAGTTTTCAGCCTATACAGGAACCATCTTTGGGAGGCACAGTTGTTTGTCAGAGTGAAACAACAACAACAAAAAGGGGGTAAAGAACCCTGACTTGAGGAGTTGGATTTGCACCATGAAGACTCGGGCTGATTTAAATAGAACCAGCTTCCAGCCTCCCACATTAGCAGTCCTCACCCATACACCCAGTGTCCTGACACTGGGCCCCTCTCACAGCCCTGCCTCCCAGATGAATTCAACACTCCCCTTCCTCCACAAATTTGAGTCTTAATGAACTCCTTCCTCCTCCAGGGACAGGAAGTCCCCTCCCCATCCCCCTAATTTATCTTTCTTCCAGGACTGTGACAAAATAGAGACAGAAACAATGGGGAGTAAATATTTGTTTCACTCAGTATCAAAGGTATAAGCCGATCCTTGCTGGGAGGGCCTGGTGGAGCAGCCAACCCCATGGTTGGCAGGAGGCAGAGCTGAGATACAACAGGAAATGGCCACAAGGCAAAACACATGTTCCCAAGACAAACCCTTCCCATCCCTAACCCCCAAACTACCTCCTCCAGCCAGGCTCCAACTTCTACAGTTCCACCATCTCTGTATAGTCAAATTTTGAATCCAGGGCTGGGGAGAGGAATCACTGGTTAAGAGCACTGGCTGCTCTTCCCAAGGTCCAGGGTTTGGTTTATGGCATCCACATGGCAGCTCACAGTAGTCTGTGCCCCAGGCCTAAGGGATCTGATGCCCTCTTCTGGCATCCTCTAGACATACCAGATGCACTTGTACATGTGTACACGCAGGCAAAACACTGGGAAGGTTGAATCCATAAAATAGTGAAAGCATTCATTAATCTAGATCCTTCATGATCTGATTAACACTGGAAACACCCCGAATATACCTACATTATTGATCTTCTAGAAATCTTTCAGTCCCCTCACGTTGACGGTCAATATTTACCAACACAAGGACCCATATAAGCTCATCACAAACATAAACCAATTACCCACCCACAAGGCTAATCATTCTAATGGACTTTTCTGTCTAAAACAAGTTTTGGTGGCTGGGAAACACGTTCCCCACCCATAGCTTTCTCCCATGCCTTCCATGTCATCTCAGTCATTTCAAAACTATGACTTTACAATAAATTTCCTCGGGCTGGGGAGATAGGCCCGTGGGTAAAGTGCTTTCTGTATAAGTAGGTGCCTAAGTTCAGATCCACACTTGAATAAAAATCCAGGCATGCTGGTTCATGCTGGTAACTCCAGAAGAACAGCAATAGAGGAAGACAGCCACTGTTGGCCTCTGACCTCTGCATGCCTCCAGAGACGAGTGCACTCCACATACATTCATGTGCCCACATGCACACAGCCCTGTGTCGCACGCACACCAAAAATCAGTTCACTACAAAATACTTCCCAGGCACCATGTATTTTTCTTTAAAACAAAACTGCCGGGTCGTAAGTTCGTGCAGCTTTCCCCTTGCAGAAACGTTCCCCAAACCTCACAAGTAAATAGGCAAGGTGTGAACGCTTTCGTGCCACCTTGGAGACCCCAGCCCTGAGCGTAAATCTCTCTGTAAGGGCGTCAGGGGTGCTGTCCCGTGTCCTTGGGCCACCTCCCCTGTGACTCACGGCCAACCCCGCACAGCGCTACACACAGAGCTTCCTCTTAACACAGAAAAGAGCAACCAGCAGGGAATCCCACCCTGGAGAAGAGCTCGCATCAAGTCTCTTACGGACAGATGCAGATGCTGCCCGCAGATTCTTGGCGTTGAAAGTCGTGCTTCATAGACTGCCCTGCCGCTTCTCTTTCGTGCCCCGTTGAAAGGATTCCTTGGGGCTGAGTTCTGAGAAACATGACTTACTAGGTCAAAGCAATACGTAGGATTCTTTTTTTTTTTTTTTCCATAGTTGATTGTTCATACTTCCTAAAGACGCAAGCCCCCAAGGCCACAGATGCCCGACGGCACTTCACTCCCCACAAGCCACCTGCCCAGTGATTTCCTTTGACACAAGGACACCCCTTCTTCCACATGGGAGGAAGCCAGTCACCCAGGACTTGGGTTGGAATGATATGAAGGTCCATCTACAGTGCCTTCGGTTGCTCTCAGACATGCACTCAGAACAGGGGCACAGGTTGTTAACGTCAATAAAAAGCTGTAAGAGGAGCCAGGGTTTTACCAGGACACATCAGGGCAGAATGCACCAAGAATCTCAGCATGTCTGGCTCCCTACAGGCAGAACTGAGGCCAGAGCTGGCCACTAGAGGAGGAAATGCAATGCAGAAAGACATCCACAGTGACTCAGGCTGTTTGCCGGGCTCTGTTTATTCTGATAGAACCTTCTCTCCATGTGGCGATGTTTAAGCTTGGGGTTGAGGACATGCGACCAACATTACCTGTTCCCAGATCTCAGGGAGAGCCACGGTGTGACCATGCCGCTCTCCATAGTACAAATATGTGAGAACTCCACCGTGGCTGGATTCAGGCTTATGAAGGCGGTGTGGTGTGGTTGAACCTCGAGTCAACGAGATGTGTCTATTCTTAGTTGTCAGCATGACTACATCTGGAATAAACTAAAACTCAAAAATGGAGGAGCGTACCTGTGGGGGATGGATCTTTGCTTAATCTGAAGTAGAAAAGATCTTCTTCTAGTCCAGATCTATGAAGTAGGAAGACACACTTTTAAGCCAGATCTTTAGAGCTGGGAAAACACACTTCTATGGACCATGCCTTCTGCAGGAAGCTTATAGAAGGACATGGAAGAAGGAAGCATTTGTTGTTTGCCTGCTTGCCCTCACTTGCTGGGAAGTCCATTCCCTCACTGGTGTTAGAGCTAACTTCTTCAGGGTTCTGGTATCTACTGAAGACCAGCTGAGACATCTAACCCCATGGACTGAACAACTACTAGATTCTTGGATTCTTCCATTCATAGGTAGCCAGTGTTGGATTAGCTGGACCACAGCCTGTAAGTCATCCTAATAAATCCCACGGATGGATGGATGGATGGATGGATGGATGGATGGATGGATGGTCATTTTACTCTAGAGAACCCTGACTAATAAGAAGCCATGTGCATCAGCTTTTAATTGCAAGCAAGAACCAGGACAAACTGGCCCCAGCACACATCATATAAGAAGGTACCTGAAACATCATCTTAGTTACCCAGAAAGCAGAATGCCTTCCTTCTCTTGGATGCTTAACCTGTCTCTGCAAGGTCTCACCCTGATGCCATCACATGAACTTCCCAAGCCTTGAATGTGTGCTTCTAAAACCCAGGTGGATTTGAGTGACTGGGACCAAGAGTGGGAATCAGTTTGTCCTGATATCCCAGACCAATAACCATAGCTAGCTAGAGTAGTTAAAGCAGGAGGATTTCAAGTTCAAAGAGCCCTTGAGGTGCACATCTTTGCCAGTGCCTTTGTTGATCATGTGCAAAAACCTAGTGCAAAAGCCCTGGCTTCAACCCCCAACACTGAAGGAGAAAGTAGAGAGTCTGGGCATCAGCCTCTTGCTAACTGTGTGATCATAGGCAAGTCACTTAAGGTTTCTGAGCTTGTGCTTCACCACAAAAGGGTTGCTGACCCAAACAGGTTATTCTTAAGACTAGGCAAGCTCATGTCTAGTGTGCTAGCTAGTTGTCTGTCAACGCTACACACAAACTAGAGTTACCAGAAAGAAGGGAACCTCAATTGAGAGAAATGACCCCTTGAGATCCAGTTGTGTCGTTACCAGTCCCCTCCTCCTCACTTAGTGGTGTGATGCCGGTGGCCATGACCTGGCGCCCTAAGAGGGAGAGCGAGGCGGGAATGACCTAGGGTGTTGGAGACCTCGGGTGATGGGTGAGCGAGACAAAACTAGACGTGCCAGGGGGCAGACTCCATTGAGCAGCTCATTTAATTGTGGGGAACAAAGGCTATGCAAACCTTTGGGGAGGGGTAGAGGCTTTTGAGGTGAGTATATATCATTGGCTAGGGCTAAGGTGCTAGAATGCCTTCTTTGCCTGAGGAAGAATTCCAGGTGCTTGCTGGACATGACCTTATATGCAGAGAGGAAGTTTAAACGGTAACTGGCTGCCAGGCTGTGTGATGACCTCAAGGGGCCAGAGGTGGGGCCCGAAAGGCCGTGTACACTG